AGCCGGGTCAGTGTCCCCGCGCGCGCGCCGGCCCCCGCGCCCCAGCCGCCTGCGCCCCCGCGATTGCTAACTCTCTGCCTCTCCTTTCTTTCCGGCTCCCGCCGCCGCCGCCGCGCGCGACATGCCTGCAGCCGCCGTGTGCAAGCGCAGGGAGAGCCCGGAAGGTAGGGGCGCGCGGGGCGCGGAGCGGGGGGATGGACCGGGAACCACCGCGGACGGCGGCCGAATGGCCTAGCCGGCGGGATCTGATTACCAGGGCCACCCCTAGCCCCAGCCCCAGCTCCGGCCACCGGTCCCACAAATCCGTTCCCGGAGCAGCCTTCGTGCCGCCTCCTCTGTCCTACCTACCCCTTCCCCGCGGTCCTGTGCTCTCTCTTCTGACCCTCAACCCCTCCTCCTCTCGCGCTCCCAGTCCTCCGCGCTCTCTGCGCCCATACTTCAGACTCCCAAGCCCCTTCCCCCAAGATCCTACCCCCTCTCTTTCCGGCCGTTAGCCGCCTCTCTCGAGATCTTGGACCCTGCGCCCACCGCGCCCCCTCTCCTGACCCTCAGTTCCCGTCTTCCCCTTACCCGGTGCTCACTGCACCCGTCTTCTGACCCTCACCCCTCTCCTCCGCAGTCCCGGCTCTTCCTCCCGGGGTATTGCTCCCCCTTCGCGCTCCCCTCTGGGTCGCTGCTCTTGGGGCTTCGCTGAACCCCCTTCTCCTGACTACCTGCGCCCCTCTCTCGGAGTGTGCCCCGAGTCTCAACCCCCTCCCGGCCCCCGCTGCCTCTGCCGCGCCCACTCTTTCCCTCCTCTCTCTGGTAACTTTCGGCCCAGGGGCCAGACTCAGGGGCTTCGTGTCGTCCCCGCCCCAGGTGACAGCTTCGCCGTGAGCGCCGCCTGGGCTCGGAAGGGCATCGAGGAGTGGATCGGGAGGCAGCGCTGCCCGGGCGGCAGCTCCGGACCCCGACAGCTGCGGGCGGCGGGCACCGCTGGCAGAGGAACCCGGGTACGATCCCCACTACCCCCCTTCGCCCTCGGAAATGAGTCCCCATACCACCCACCCCAACTTTTAGCATCCTCTTGGCACAGCTTCTAAGTCCAGAAATCCCCTTTCCAGCTGCCCATGCCCCACCACCATGATTCTGTACCCCCGGTGCCTCCGGGAACCTTACAGGTGATGCAGGTGGCAGTCTCCTGTCCAGTTGGTTTCAGAGGGTGGCCTGGGGGAAAGGTCCTGGGTGAGGAGGTGGTGCAGGTCCAGTCCGCGGGGAAGCTGGTTTGTGCTGGAGGTATTGGGGGGCCTGCTCTGACTTCTGCCTTGTGTCTGTGGCCAGCACTGAGAGGTGGCTCTGGAGACGGGGCTGGGAGTGGGGGAGAGAGGGAAGGCATCTAGGGGTGTCGGGTAGAGGGCAGGCCTGTGCTGGCCTCCAAATGTATTCCTAGTGTCTGTGGCATTCATCAGTACCATCTTTCCAGGAACCCCAGCAGAGCAGGCTGCCGTCTGGGTGCAGAGCTTGGGGGGCACTGAGACCCGGTAGACCCCTGCGCTTGGCCCACAAGGAGAGAGAGGGCCTCATTCTGCTGTAGCCTGGGCTCACCCCTGAGCCTTCACGCAGTGGGTCTCCAAGGTTGGAGTTGTTCCTGGGGGAGCGGTGGACGTGACAGGGGAGTGAGTGAGTCCGACTCCGGCTCCTGGCCTGGGCCTGGTGTTCACAGATGTCCTGTGAGCTCTGGAACTCCGCACGGGGCTCTCAGATGGTCTGCGTGGAACTCGAGCCAGCCAAGGATCAAAGGATGAATCAACTTTTTGATGTGACATTTAATTTTTTTTCTTTAACTTAGAGAGGAACAGACTGAGTTTCAGGCCTGGTTAGTTCTTTGGCCTTGCCCATGGGCTGGGGAGGGGCCAGTGGAGTTTTCAGATGTGTGTGTATCTGGGTGGTGGGACCTGGGCTGGGTACAGCTCGGTTGCAGGGGCCGGCGCTGGGAGGTGAGCCTGCGGGTGAGGGGGACTCTGTGCGTGTATGAGATACCCTCTGTGTCTGGAGACACTCCCATCTCCTCCACCACCGCCGCTTCGCGGGCGCTTTCTCTCTCCGTTTCTCTTCATCCGTTGGCTGGGTTGGAATTGGAGCTGCTCTCCCCTAGTAAAGGTCAAAACTTGATGGGCGGGGGGCACTGCCGTGGGGGCCCTTTATAAACAGAACCACAAACCTCCCTTTCTTCCCCCACCATTTCTAGTTTTTGATCTACTTATTTATTTAAAGCCCACTGAAAATGATCCGATTTAGCCGTATGAACAAATGCATTTGTGGCTCAAGACAGAGGCCGACTGAGTGGATTTCCATTAATCAAGTTTTGAGTTTTTTCGGCCTGTTTATTTTTACAAAATATTCCTGCAGAATGACATTTATTTGCAGTCCCTTTTTTTTTCTTTCCTAAACTGCCAGGCAGCTTGCTCCATGCTTTAGGGGAAACTTGAAATACAGCGCGGGCTCACTTCAATTGACTTTTATCTTCAAAGCCATAACAAATGTTACCCGCATGTTTTTGGTGGGTCTCCTTGGTATCCAGTACTGGAGGATGGGAGGGAGGAGGAAGGAAGGAGAAGGAAACAAAAGTCTGTCGTTTTTAATTAAATAGTAGTGTTCCCAGCAAGAGGAATGTGAGCCAGTAAAAGTTGCCATTGGGGGAAATGAGGGACGGTGGGGAGGGGGCCCAGCTTCAGTCTGTAGCTTTGGTGAAGTCACGGAATTTTGTTGCCTGGTTTCTTCCCCCAGCTGAGGACAGCACGGGATGCCCCTCTCTCCTGCGCCCCCTCTCTCAGAGAAGTGCCGAGGGGCCGTTCATGTGTGTTCAAAGCACTTTTGAAGATGTGAGACGCAGAGCCATCAGCGTGACATATGTTGGGTGGTGGAGGGTGGGCCCTGCCATCACGAATGTTAAGAGGAGGGAACCTCTGCTTCCTTGAGAGTTGTGCTTGGTGACTGGGACCCGGGTGCCTGGGTTCCCACCAGCCCTGGCCCATCTGCGTCTGTAGAGGTGGGGACAGCCAGTCCACCCTGGGAGAAGTCATCGTGAGCCCTAGGGGTGGGGCCACACAGTCAGGGGTCTGTGGGGCGATTTCGGGTGGTACCTGGAGGAATATTTTTTATTTTGATAGTTATGTATTTCATGTACTGGAAAAAAAATAGGGCATCAAACCCATGATTTCAGGAGTATTATTGTTTAGGATGAAGCTAAGTTGAAAGAAATAGTCTAAAGTCAATTCTGAGAAAAATATTAAGTACAAGTGGTCAAAATTGTGCATGTGGGAATGGAATGCCCAAAGTTTGGGAAACACCAAGATGCTGAACAGCACAGCAATGGGCAGCCCGCAGTCTAGGTGCACGTCCGTGATTCCAGTGGCACGGAAGGGGTAGCTGCAGGTCCTTCTGTTACATCATCAGGGTGTCGGAGGGCATGGGCTCCAAGGTCTGCTGGGTTCCGAGGGCTGACAGAGGTCCCCCCACCAGCCCCAGGCCCATCTTGGGGATGGCCTCTGTCTCCTCTCCTTCACCAGAGTGGCTGGGGACGCAGGAGTGGTGTATCCAGCTAGCATTATTATTATTATTGCCCTGATCACTACTGTTTATTAAGTGCCTGTATATGTCAGGCCCTCTGCTTACATTATCTTAATCCTCCTCATAACTCCATAAAGCTGGTGTGGACTCTGATGTTCTCCCTTTCCGGAGCACTTTCTAGGACCACAGAAGCAATGCATGTGATGCTCTGTGCCAGAGCATCTATCTGGAGGGTTCTGCACTCACTAATTCCCAGCGAGGTGACATGCCGACCAGCTGCTGAGTACTTCAGGGTGAGGCAGGTCGTGGGGCAGGCAGAAGCAGGAGCGGCCCCTGCTTGCCTTCTTCCTCCTGGACGGGGTCTGAGTAGCTTAGTAGCAAGGTCCTGAGGTGTGAGGGGGGGACCTCACTGGCACTAGCCTAACCTGCCCTCCTGAATACAAAAATAAATGAGGTCAGGCTCTGCCACCACAGCTTGTCACCTGGAATAAGCCAGTTTACCTTTGTATACCTTAATTAGCTCATCTGCAAAATGGGTGCGATACCTCTCAGCTCTGGCAGGGTTATGGCTCTTCAGAAAGAGCAGAGCTTGGGAAGAAAGGTACTGAGGGGTTTCCTTTGAAACCAGAGCCGCCCCCCATACATTATAGACTCACTTGGAGGAACACAGGCTGGGGTTCTGCCCTTCCCGTGGGTACAGGATGAACTCCAAGGAGATAGGAGCTCAGAGGAGAAAAATAATAAGAAATGCGAGGTGTACAAGTGCCACGAAAGAAGACCAAAAAAGTGAGCAATTTATGTGCCAGACAAGGATAGAATTAGAAATTAAAATAAGCATAATAATCTCAAAGAGATAAAGGAGGATATTGGAAACACGAAGCAACAACAGGCAGTTACAAAAGAAAACCAAATGGAAATGTTGGGTCTGGAAAATATAATGGGTGGAATAAAAAAAGCATGAGAGATGGATGGATTAGCCTAATGAACACAGAGATTGATAGGAAAACGTGGAAAAGCAACTCTGTGCACGTGCGTGTGGTGTGTACGTATGTGCTTATATGTATGTGTACCCCCAGGTTTAAGACAGTCCTCCCCACCCCTGTGTGGCCCTTTTGTTCTTTTATGGCAGGGCTGCCTGAAGAAAGAGGCTGGATCAAAGGGGGCTACCAGGCGGTTTGGGAATTTGGTTGGGGGCACCCAGTGTTTTGATATTTGGGGAAGGTTAGGAGGGTACAGGCCCGGTTGGAGCCCATGGGGGTGTATTACGCTGGGTGATGTGGTTGGAGGCTGGCCCAGCTGCTGCCCGAGTGCCGGATTCCAGGGGAATTACCCTTGAATGATAGCAGTTGGCACAATTAAAAGGCCTCATGTCTTCAGCATATGGAAAATGTTAGGCCTCCTTACGTGGTTTCGAAGCTATGTGCCGGGAGGTGGACTTGACATTTGAGGTAAGGCATAAATTAAATATTTGGTGTTTCAGAATTAAAAGATGATTTGCTTTGAGGCTGGTGGAGGCCTTTGGGCCTCCACTCGCTGGCATCTTCGAGCTCTCCATGGAGGGTCTGCTTTGCCGTGGCCCCCAGGGCCAGCAGCTCAGCCCCTCCTGGGAGCTTTCTTCACCCTTGGGGAGTGGAGGGAGAGACGAGGGAAGCTTGAGCTGGGCGATGTGCCAGGTGTGGCGTCTGGTTTCCAATAGGCCTGGGTCCCTCAGGATGGTGGGTAGTGGGCAAGGGGGTCGTGTTCTGAGAGCTTTCATGCCTCTCTGATGTGGTCTCTGGTAGAGGCTCTGAAGAGGGTCTCATCCTCCCTCGGAGACCCTTTTTCTTGGAGAGGGACGCTGATCCCCCTGAGTCAGGCTGTGTGTGTGTGTTCCGTTTCCCAGCATTCAGGAGCAGCCCCTCTCCGTTCGCGTGTTGCACTAACTGTAATCAACCCGGAGAAACTCAAGCTTCTTTCACAACCACGGCATGTCCCACGAGGTCTGAGGACTTGGGGGGGGGGTGTCATCCGCTCCCCCAGTGGGGATGTCAGGGGTGACAAGAGGAGGTGGGTGATGGATGGACAGAGAGCAATCTTCCTTGTGCCATGAGGCTCAGGCGCCACACTGTCCCCTTGAGCACTTCAAACTGTAAGGCTGAACTGTCAGCAGCAGAAGAAGCACTTTCCGAGTGATACGTGTTCCTTGTAGGAGCCCCGGGGCACACAGAGGGCGCTCACCGCCTATTTGCTGGGTGAATGAAAGAATGAAGGCATAGAAGATAGACTAGGTCCCCATGCCCGCCTCCTCCTCCCTCAGAGCGTCCTCCTCAGCCAGATGGAACTTAGAAGCAGGAAGAAAGGGAAGGGTGGAATTAGGTCTTTGCGTTCAGGCACTCAGCTGTTGATGAATGATTATCAATAATGAGTTGTTATTAACCGTGAACTCCCTGGCTGTGCCAGCTGT